ATATTCTTCAATAATTCTAAATATTCAAGTTTCCCTCATATTGTTTCCCTACAGGCCTCTTGGCAATAAATTCTTAGTTTCCTTTTATCTGAAAATGTTGTCTCACCTTCCTTCTTGAAAGATATTTCACCACATACAAAACTCAAGGTTGGCAGGTTTTGTTCCCTTCAGTACTTTATAGTTTTCTCTTCTGGTCCATGATTTCTGATGAACAGTCCACACTCATTTGATTGTTGTCTCTGTGTATGCAATGTTTCAATTTTAACTGGCAGCTTTCAAGAACTCTTTATTATTTCTCTTTGACAGGTTGACTACGAAGTGCTTTTGTATGTTTTCTGTGCATTTATCCTGTCTGGGGCTTGCTGAACTTTTTGAATTTATAGCAATCCTCAAATTTGGAAAGTTTTTGAACATAATTTTTTTAAAGTATATTTTCTACCTTATTCTCTCTACTCTCTCCTTCTGGTTCTCCAATTACATATATGTTAGACATTCTGATACTGTTACACAGGTCCCTGAGACTCTGCTTATTTTACTAAAACTTATCCTCTCCCTCTTCTTTCTACAAAGTTAGTTCTATTGCTCTAATTCCAAGTTCATTGGTTCTGTTTTTTGTCATCTCTTCTGCTTTTTAGTTCATTCAATGAATTTTTAATTTCAGATATAATTTTCACAAAGTTCTAAAAGTTCCATTTGATTCTTTTTATATTTTCTATCTCTCTGTTGGTATTTCCTACCTTTTCTTCGGTTTTTAAGCATATTTTCCTTTATGAGAAATTGGACAGTTTTTTTTTTTTTAAGATTTTATTTATTTATTTGACAGAGAGAGAGCACAAGTAGGCAGAGAGACAGGCAGAGAGAGAGGAGGAAGCAGGCTCCCGGGTGAGCAGAGAGCCCGATGTGGGGCTCGATCCCAGGACCCTGGGATCATGACCTGAGCCGAAAGCAGAGGCTTTAAGCCACTGAGCCAAGCAGAGGCTTTAACCCACTGAGCCACTCAGGCGCCCCAGAAATTGGACAGTTTTAAGAACTGATTTAAAGTCCTTCTGTGATGGGTGCCTGGGTGGCTCAGTCAGTTGGGCGTCTGCCTTCGGGTCAGGTCATGATCCTAGTGTCCTGGGATCAAGCCCTGACGTTGGGCTCCCTGCTCAGTGGGGAATTCTGCTTCGGCTTCTCCCTTTCCCTCTGCTCTCCATATCCAGCCCCACCCAGCGCCCCCTTGCACACACTGTATCAAACAAATAAAATCTTTAAAAAAAAAGTTCTTGTGTGATACTTTAAACATTTGAGTGAGTCATCTTGGGGTTGGTACTGCCAACTTTTTCCTTCAGAATGGGTCACAATATTTTAGCTCAATTTTAGATTGTATCCTGCAAATGCTGTGTTGTGGAAACTCCGCATTCCGTTATAGTCCTTTGAAGAGACTTAATGTTTTTTTTAGTAGGCAATTAACTTTGTTAGATTTGAATTGCAAACTCCGTTAACACCTGTGGTGCAAGGCAGCTCAGCTCTTGGTTCTGACGGATCTCAGTATGCTCCAAGCACACCTCATTCACAATCAGCCATAGGTTCAAGGTTGTATACCACAGAACCAAGGTTCTCCTTCTTTAGCTCTCTGATGCCCCAAGCCATTCACCTGGTTCCTCCTACTAGACAGAAAGTGGGCTTTCTATGGGAATGTTAGCTGTTCCATGTTATCAATGCCACAACTATGCTGACCTCAAGACAAAGTTCCCCAAATAGGAATTTCGTTCTGTCATTCACTTTCTCTGCATTTTGACCCCCTCCAAAATATGAAGTTTTCTGCTCAATTACCAGAGTTTTCAGGTGGCAGTTTTTTTGTGTTTTATTTATAGTTTGTCACTGATCTCTGCAGGAGGTCTTCTCAGATAGAGGAGTTATTCGATCATAAGCAGAATCTTATTACCTTTTTTATATGTAATTTCAAATAGATTGAAAGAGTACAGATATATCATGTATGACTATTTCAACGAAGTACCTGAAATAATCTTTCATGATATCCTAGAATAAAAGCATGCTTCAAGTAGGAGAAACTCTAGAGATCTTTTTGTTCAACACTTTCATTTTGTAGACATGGAAACTAAGTCCCAAAAAGTCAAGCTGCCAGTAACATATCTGGGATGCAACACAAGATATCCTGATAGCTAGTTTTAGTACTGTCAATACCACACGTCTCTTTTAGACATAATAATGAAGTAGGGACTGGCTAATATTTTAATTAAAAAGTTTTCAGATGAAAAAAAAACAAAAAACACACACAAAAAAAACCTTACTCAAAGAATACTGATTAAGTGACAGGGATGTAACCCGGCAGAGGACTTCTAACGATGTATAGAAACGATATATAGTAAAGAAGGCTTTACTACCCTTTTGACCCATCCTGAATAAATTCACACCTACATTCATTCACTCAACTAATATTTACCCTTTGCCTATCATGTGCTAGCAATACAATAGGAAACCAGAATGATAATGGTTCCAGCCCTTGTAAAGTTTATATCTAGCAGCTTATATTCTAGACCAGGAAAGAGACAACAAAAAATGAATAAGAAGTTTTGCATACTGCTGACTCTCTCCTACTTGAAACTCACTTGTCCCTTGGATTTTCCTCCATTCACCTCTTAAATGGTTCAATCCTTGTCATCCTTTTTACTTTAGATGCTTTCCTTAGGCAATCTCAGTCTCTCCTCATGGTTTCCAAAGAGTATTTGTTGATTACCCTCAGTTTTTCATTTTTAACAAGGACCTCTCAAATAAGCTCCAGACTCTCTCTTATATATATTCAATGATGTACCATACAGGCTCTTTGAACTGCCATCCCCCAAAATGAACTTAACTCATTCCCTTTAAACACATTTCTCTTTCTGTTTTTCTCTTCTCAATGGTATCATCCTAGATGCTACTGCCTGTTTTACCTTTCACCTCCAGTGAGTGGGTCACCAATGCCTTTTAATTCTACTTTTTGAATCTTTGTACACTATATCCAACCATCTTCTGTATATTTTTACAGTAGCTTTTTCAAGCAGTTTCTTAGCATTTTGCAACAGAATTGATTTTCAGTAACACAAATCTAATGTCATTCTCCTTGTGCCTTGTGGATACTTTTGTCAGCACTTATTTCATTGTACTTGATTAATTAAATAACTGTTAGACTTTCAACAAGTAGAAGGAAGGAACCATGCTTTGCTCATCTTTAATTTCCATCATCTAATAATAGTAACTAAATACCTCAAACAAGGCATTAAAGATGTTCTCATTAAATCTGTGGATTGTAAAATTTGCAGGAAAATACCAGAACTTCAAATATACAAACAACTTAAATAATTAGCTAAGCCAAAAAAGAAAATGCCTACTTGGAAAAGTATTGAACCTAAATAAAAATTAGTTAGTAAGTAAATACAATAACAAAAACATAGGGTAGATCCCTTAGTAACACATATGAGAAAATGTATAAATTTTAGTTTATTTCATTATTAACTTAATTCTCAAAAAAGCTAATACAACTTTAAGCTGCCTTAAAGCATCAGTAATAGTTCCAATCTATACCAAGTGGTATGGGTACTATATTTTAAGAGTATAAATGATAAAACTGAAGGCCCTGATGGGACAAGCAACCAGGACAGTGTACGGCCCTGAGGCCACCATTATTAGAAAAAGTTGAAGTAAATATTGATATTTAATCTGCAGGAAAGAAAACTTAATGGGGACATAAGAGTTCCTAATTTGAAGAAGAGTTCATAGTAGAGGAATGAGATAAATTAAATGACACAAGGTAATACCAGAAACATTGGCTCTACGCACAGGGAAACAGAGATCAGCTAAGAATTAGAGCTGACCCCAAATGGGACACCATTGTGTTTTTGCAAATTCTCCCACACTATGATTTCAAGCAGAGGCTAAATGACCACACCATGGATGTTTTTAGCATGGGGGATTTCTGCACAGAACAGGAGACTGATTTGAATGTTGACCTGAAGAATGTAGACTTAGACTGGTTCACTTATGGCACCTAACTCCAAGGTAAATCATGGGTAAGTCCTTTGTACAGATAGTGTTGGCTACCCAAACAAATCATCCAGAATTCTCCCTTCCTGATCACTACATGACTGCCATTTTCCACCTAGGAAATAATTAAGGATTCCTCTAAGCTAACTGTTGGTGGTAGGTGATTATAGCAAAAAAGTATCATGCATTTAAGAATGTTTACTCTGCAGTTTTTAATGCAATAAAAACACTAAATGTAAGTGTAAATACAGGTAGTTATCCGTGAACTACATAAACATGCCCATACAATAAAAAAGTGACCTTCTGTTCCTTTATTACTTTGCTGACATGTACATCTTTATTCTTTAAGTTACATAGTCCCCTGGTCCTTACTTCTTGACCACCACCCCCACCATACCAGGGCCCATTTACATAAGTGTGATGGAAGAAGAAAGAAGTAAAATTGTGAAGAATGAGAAAGAAAACCTGGTTCTAGTGACGTGGTCATAATAGCCCAAATTATAAAAACACAAAAATTATCCCCCGGAAAAAATTGATCTATGTTTCTCTAATGCTGTCTTAGGCACACAGCAGGTTCAACAGACTTTTTGGGATGTCTCAGAACCTAATTACTACATATAAAGTTGTTTCTATGGAGACGCTCTTAAAACAATCAACAATGAACTCAAAACAGGTCAAGACTATTTTCTTGAAGATCTTAATGTTTTACCAATATCATTTGCAAAACTAAAAAAAGTAACATCTGGATCCAGCCAAAATCCACTAGAAGAAAAATCCCTGGAGCTGCAGAACTGAAAACAAACTGTACAAATCTCTGAATGGCAGAAGCTTCAGTACTAACAGCTAACAGAAATTTCTTTCAGGCATGGATAAGCAAACAACACCTTACTAGTCGTCAAAAGGAAGGGATCATTTCACAAGTAAAGTACTGGGTTATTTCTCGTTACACATAAGTTGTCTCAAACGTTACTCACAGCAGAAGAGTAGAGTTCAAACTCTTGCTCAGGAAGGAAAGAATGCCAGCCATCTTCCATCACTTCAAACATGGGCCGATAAAAGAAAGGGTACATCAGAGTGATAGAGTCCAGTGTAGACAATGCCTAGAGCATAAAAAGGAAACAGAAGGAAGAGAAAGGAACTTACCGCAATTTGAAACATCTTCTAACTACCAAATCGGTATTAAATAAATACAGTCTAATAAGGATGCACACCCCATCTACTTCTCCAACATTGTATTTACCACTAGACACAATTATAGTTTACTGAAGCTGATTTCCATACTTTCAGCATCTAACAAGGTACTTGGCACATAGCATATGCTCAGTTAACATTTCGTGAATGAACACAAGAACAAAAAAAGTGTGCGCACCTATTCCAGAAGAAAAATTAATAACTTCTTTTGATACCACTTAACAAAGCCTAATAAAAAAGGTCCAAATATTTCTAGGGATCGGGAAAAAAACAGGATCTGGTTAGAAAAAAGGCCTTGGCTCAAAATTCAGATATCGAGTATATCAACATATGTACATTATTTAAAAATCAGTGTCTGTTAGTTACCATAAATAAAGATGTTACAGCTTGGTGGCCATGTATATTATCTTTATGTTACAGTGACCCATTCTCAAGCTGGGGCAATAACTCTGTGGTTCCCAAATGAGCCTATAATCATCTGAAACACTTGAATTCTGGATAACGCCACCAGGAAAACCTGACTAAATGTGAGGAACAGACAGATGGGACGTCCTCCATCACCTGGCAGTTTCAACCTTCTGACAGGGGACTTATAAAAAACACTTCTACGGTTGGGGAAAAAAGGTACCAAAATCAATTAGCATAATTCAAATTACAGTAATTATGGAGACACTTACCCAGAAGCCCAACATCATGCTAGTTCGCCAAAACTCTCAGAATAAAGCTACCTTCCTCTAGGTCACAGAAAGACCAGATTCACAAAGAATGGGCCCAAGACTTTAAAAGCAGATTAGACATGTAGTTTAGCAGTTTAACAAAACATCTTCATCCAATGTTATTCTTCCATCTGCCCATAAATCATGACACTCTTCCCCCAGAGCTCATAATACAGAAAATATGGAGAAGCATGGCTGTATAATCCACTATCCACTTCTATACAGTCTTTGGCTGCCAATCACACTAAACTGACCACTAAATTGCCAATCACACTAAACTATGTCACATGTGATCTAGGCCAGAGCTGCCGTTGTTCAGTACAAACATTACTGTTTCACTTTTTAAAAATTTTGTTCTTAAGATATTCTTTGCAATATTTTTTAAAAATTTCATCTCTACGGAGGTAAAACTGGCAAATAAAACTTAAGATATTCAAAATGATGATATGATACACTGTGAAAGGACACCCCCCTGGAGTTAATTAACATATCCATCTTCTCACATATTTGCTTTTTGTTGAAAACATTTAAGTTCTACTCTCTTAGAAAATTTCAATTATACAATAATATAGCTTTGTTGACTATAGTTACCATGCATTACATTTGATCCTAAGACATTATTCATCTTATAACTGTACGTTTGTAACTTTTACCAACCTCTCCTTATCTCCCTCAGCCCCTAGCAACCACTTTTCCACTCTCTGTTTCTCTAAGGTTTTTTTAGTATTTAGGATTCCACATATAAGCAGTAACATGCAATATTTGTCTTTCTCTTTCTGGTTTATTTCACTTAGCATAATGCCCTTCAGTTTCACCCTTGTTGTCACAAATATCAGGATTACTGTTTTCTATGGCTGAATAATATTCCATTGATATACAGATAAATATATTTTCTTTATCCATTCATCTGCTGACAGATACTTAAGCTATCTCCATATTTTGGTTATTATGAATAATGCTGCAATGATCAAGGGAGTAAAGATAGCTCTTTGAGATGATTTTGTTTTCTTTGAATATATATCCAGAAGTGGGGCTGCTGGGTCATACAGTAGTTGCACTTTTAATTTCTTGAGGAACCTCCATAGTGTTTTCCATAGTGGCTGGTACAACCACAATTTTAAATGCAAATCAACAGCCACTTTAGTAGGTAATAAGCACTCATATTCTGACTTGTGATCACATATTATGTCACTAGGACTTTTCCTTTAAACACATTAATGCTGAAAGAACTGAAAACATTTCAATTCCAAAAGATAGTGGAAACTACACAGAAAAAAGCTTCATTAGGCTTCCTGTTACATTTTAGAAAACTGAGCACTTGCCAGTTAGTCTTCCAATGGGATTCTATTTGTGGCAGCAGAATATATTAGGGTATATGGATTCTTGATTAGAAAGACTAGCTCAACTGTTTTATATAAGAAATTCACTTGTTACTACCAAGTTTTGTCAAGATGTATAGGGGAGGCGGGAAGGAACTGGATACCAGGAAAAGGCAAGAGACCAAGTTTACAACGTACATTTACTATGTTGTAAAATAATTAATAGATCATTCACTTTCTGAGGTCAAGAATTTCTACATATTCAGTTTCTAAAGTACTTCAGGTACTATATACAGCCAATTAAACAACTGATTAGTGTCAGATGCTAACAAAACTAAGTAAATGCAATCAGAAAGTGGGTAACAGGCTTTGCCCTATATTTCCTCTACCATTATCCTTCACCATAAGCAACTTCACTAACATCCACCAACCAGCTATATTGTAAGTTTTATATAAAAGGGGTAAGAAGAAAAACGTAGACTGATTAGTGAAAATCCAAACCCACAACAGGAAAAAAAAAAAAAAAAAAAGCTCAAATGAAATGAGTCAGTAGTATTCCCCTGCCCAAAGAGCAGGACAGTGTTTCAATTTAACAGCCTAGAAACCACAGAGTGTATTCCTTACCCATGTTCACAAATTTGGCCAAATCAACGTTACTACATCACTTCCAAATGACAAGATAAGCAAGACAAATAGTTCAGCTCATCTTCTCATTTCCTCTAAGTAAAATTTAGCAAAGGCAGAAAGTAAACCAGTTCCATGCCATTTTTCTCAGCACGACAGTTTTTATTTCTCTATTCTTGTTAAAAAAAGCAAACAAGATCCTAATTACAGATTTTTAAACCTTCCTGTCTCCTTTTAGTAGTTAAGCCGATAGCATTCGTTCTGGATACAAAGACCAGATTAGTCACTCAAAGACCAAAGGGGGGAAAAAGTGATGTGTCTATAATTGTCTAGAAATACTATAAACAAAAAGTTAATTGCTGTAATTTAGTGACAATGATTTAAAACAAGGCAATTTAAAATTTGAGTGTAAACCAAAATAGTTTGAATGGGTAAGAAAATGGTGTGAGCTCTTCCATTTAAATATTAAATTATCCAAGCAAAATATCTATTATTTGTTATCTGAACAGATACTCAATACTGTTGTTATGAATATAAAACAAACACACTCTGTCTTAAGCAAACATGACGTAGGGAAAATTAAGACTTACTAAAGACAAACAAAAGACTATAATCATTGGTGATAATCACCTGCTTTATAAAAGAAGTTACTTTTTAGAAAAACCTTATAATATATACACAGAGTGGAGTAGTATTGAGTCTTAAAAGAGAAGGAAATCCCGTCAAATGCTACAAGTGAACCTGGAGGAATAAGTCACACTAAAAACTATTAAAAGTCAATAAAATCTTATTACATTCCTATAACAATGAATCAGGGTGAGGCTTTTCCTGTCAATTTTCAATATGTGAGTCACAGAATATGACCAACTATCTACTAAAAAAACATAAGAGCCACACTGAGTCAGAATATAAGGTTCTTTTTTTATTACTATTTACTTTCATCAGATTTTGCCTCTGAAATATTTACCTCAATGGAACTGGCTATATTCAAACATTCTTCCATTCCAGGAATATCCAACTGAATTATTCGAAAATCTTTACATTTTATGATGATGGTACCCAGTGGTCCCACAAATCTGTAAAAAATTACAAATTATGCTTAAGAACATATATTTCTATCTTTAAACATATGACTATCTCCTTGAAAAGAGAATGTAGTTGTAATTACCATCTATATTCAACTTTCTTCTCCCAAATTAGTCTAATTAAGAAGAGTCAGGACTGTATATTAAAAAATGTGAGCCATAAATTATTTTAAATACATGTACTTAAAATTTTCTGAATTCATAAACTAATTAGTACTAGGCCAATTCATTTAATGAAGATTATTTGGGGCCTTACTTCAAAGAATAGAGAAAAAAAGATCTGTAATTAATATGTTAAATATTTATAGAGCATAGGAAAACACTTTCAGATTTTACTTACTTCCAAGCTTGTAGTAGTTGATTTTAAATATAAGTATCTCTTATTCAGTCTTTAAAAAACTATTAACTTACATTATATATTCTAAATGCCATATCTACTCATAACTTTTGTATCGGTAAATTTTGTACAAATATAATTTTACCTTGATTGCAATTTTTGTCTTCTTTTTATTACTGTTGTTTTGTTTTGTATTTGCTGACAGCTCTGAGTTTTCTTGTGCTTTGCCACTGGTTGGCCCCTTTCTTTTCCATTAATACTTCTGAGTATTCTCTAAACTAGGAATTCTTAGATTGACCAAATACTATTCATTTTACTTACATTTTGCCCAGTTTAGAAAGGCAATTCCTACAGCTACACTTCCTGAGCTCCATCTCAACTGTAAGCACCCCTATGCCTCACATAACTGCATTGTTAATTTGGACAGGCAAACATTATCAGCACGGGTCAAATCCTACTAAAGGTAATTCTACCAGACATCCACAACCTATCAACAATTTGGAATGCCTCTTATCAAATTTATTTGGAAAACTCACACTCTTGGCACTTCTACTTCCAGCAAAGGTATGACAGGAACCATATTTACCCTCCCACCTGAAACAACCAAAATAACTGGACAAAATATACGAAAGAACTATCTTCAAGACACTGGACATCAAGCAACAAAGAACAGATATCTCTGGGAGATGGGAAAAAAGGTGAATCCTACAATTACCCCAGTTTACAGTTTTGAGAGTTTCCAAGCTACAGAAGAGGGAACATGGGTGAAACTGACAGTCTGAGGAAAGCATCTATATTAGAAAGAAAGTTTCATATTTGTGACTTCAGATTCTACTACACTAAAAAAAGAGCAAGTCAAATTCAAAGAAGACATTAAATAAAGATCAGAACCAAAATTGATGAAGTAGAAAAAAGAAAATTATAGGGAATAATAAAAGCAATGATGATTGCTTGAAAATAATAAAAGCAATAAACCACTAGCCAAAGTGATCAGGAAAAAAAAAGTCAGTCTCAATTTACCAATATCAGAAATGAAAGATAAGAATCACTACAGACTGTATAGTATTAAAAAGATAAGGAAATACTAGGAACAACTTTATGCCAATAAATTCAACAAGGTAAATGACATGGACCAATTCCTCAGAAGACACAAACTCAAGAAGAACATAATTAGTTCTATAGCTATTAAATAAACTGCAATTTTCATGAAAATCTTCCCCACCAGAAAACCCTCCAGGCCTAAGTGGCTTACTGATGAATTCTATAAAACATTTTAGGAAAATATAATACCAATTCAAGACAAAGTCTTTCAGAAAGTTGAAGAAGAGACAATTATTTATCAACTCATTCCATGGGGACAGCATTACCCCAATATAAAAAACAAAGACATAAGAAAACTATAGACCAATATCCCTCAGGAACACAGATGCAAAATTTCTAATCAAAATATTAGCAGATTAAATCCAATTAATATATAAAAAGGGTAATACATCATGAACAGTTGGGGTTTATCATTTGAAAATCAAAGCAATTTATCGTATCGCTAAACCGAAAAAGTAAAACTATATAGATAAACATCACAATAGATACTGAAAAAGCATTTGGCAAAATTCAACATCTATTCCTGATCTTAAAAAACAAAAACAAAAAACCCCCACTCTCAGCAAACCAGGAACAGAAAGAAACATCTTCAACCTGATAATAGCATTTACCAAAAGAAAACAAAACCAAAAACAACAAAACAAACCTACCACTAATCAGACTTAATGGTGAAAGACTAAATACTTTTTCACTAGTATCAGGAATAACAGAGATGTTCACTCTCACTGCTTCCATTCAACATTGTACTGATAGTTAATAGCCAGTGTAATGAGGCAAGAAATAAATGGTACCCAAATTGGAAAAGAAGAAATAAAACTGTCTTTAGTGGCAGATGACATGACTGCCTATTTAGAAAAGCTAATGAAAAATACAAAAAAAACTACTGGAATTAAAAAGTGAGGTTAGTAAGGCTGCTGGATACAAATTCAGTACACAAAAATCAATAGTATTTCTATATACTATTGCAACAATTGTTTAAAATATTCAGGACTTGATTTTTATTTAGGATGACAGAGCTGACAGATCAAGAGACGACTGTCATTGGAAAGATAGTTTGTGATTCACAGTTCTCAAAAGGAGGGGGCACGCCATGTTATGCAGGGTGTCAGGAGGCAGATAGTGCAAGAGGAAAGCATGGGCCAGAACTTTTACTGTAAGTTTTCACAGAAAGGAATGGGAAAGGCAGCTGAGCAAGTTTAGGATTAGGTAGTTTGAATAATTCTGTCAGGCTCTGGGTTATACAGATGATTCCTAGTTGTGTGTACTTGGCCCTGGAATAATGCAGGAGAGGAGAAAATAGTAGTCCTGAGTGCAGAAGCCTGATATGAGGAGGCAGATAAGGTTCTGGACTCCAGACTGGCTGGTGTGCATACTAAAGGTGTGCTTGCAGGCAAGTTTCCAGCTATTTGGAGTAAATAGCTAACTCTGAGAGGGTATAGTCCCTCTCCAGGTCTGCAAGGCCTGAAGACTTCTATGGCAATAAATAATACAAAAGCAGTTAGACATTGAAATTTTAAAAATACCATTTGAAAGAGCATCCAAAAATGTGTAATAAATGGGGAAAGTGGGGGAAATCTGTCAAAAGTTGTCTGAAACCTGTAAGTGAAAACTAAAACATACTGTTGAAAGATATTAAACACCTAAATAAAATGAACGGAGAGATATACTTTGTTTATGGGACAGATGACTTAAAGATATCAGATGTCAATTTTGAACAAATTCATTTATCAACAGATTCAACACAATTCCAATAAAAATCATGTAGGCTTTATTTATTTACATATTTATTTTTAGAAATTAACAACCTGATTCTAAAATTCGTACAGAAATACAAATGACCTTAAATAGACAGAAAAATTTTTAATAAGAACATGCCTAGATAGCTAACACTACATAATTTCAACTTACTATGAAGCTACTGTAGGGGCACCTGGGTGGCTCAGTTAGTTAAGCACCTGACTCTTAATTTTGGCTCAGGTCATGATCTCAGTTTATGAAATCAAACCAAGTCAGGCTCTGTGCTCAGCGGGGTGTCTGCTTTTCTCCCTCTACCCGTCCCCACCTTCACGTGCACATGCGCACGTTCTCTCTCTCTCTCTAAAACAAATAAATATTTTTTAAAAACCTACTGTAATTAAGACTGTGGTAATGTAATAGCACCAAGATAAACATATCAATGGGACAGAAAAGAATCTAGAAATATATGGACAAAGGTGCAAAGACGATTTATTGAAGAAGAGGTAAAACAATCAGATATCCATATGCAATATACATACATACATATATGTGTACTATAAACCATATATAAAAACTAACTCAAAATGGATCATATACCTGAAGATAAAACCCAGAACTATAAAACTGCTGGGAGAAAATATGAGCAAAAATCTTTGTGACCTTAGGTTAGGCAAAGATTTCTAAGTTAAGACACCACAACCCCAATCTATAAAAAGAACTAATAAATTGGGCTTCTTCAGAATTTAAATTATTTACTCTTTGAAAGACACTGTTAAAGAGAATGAAAAGGCAAACCAAAGACTGACAGAATATATTTGCAAATCTTATTTGATAAAAGACTTGTATCTAGAATATATTTAAAAACAAAATAAAACAAGGGGCTCCTGGGTGGCTCAGTGGGTTAAGCCTCTGCCTTCAGCTCAGGTCATGATCCCAGGGTCCTGGGATTGAGCCCCGCATCCAGCTCTCTGCTCAGCAGGGAGGCTGCTTCCCCCTCTCTCTCTGCCTGCCTCTCTGCCTACTTATGATCTCTGTCTGTTAAATAAATAAATAAAATCTTTAAAACAAAACAAAACAAAACAAAAACCAAAATGCTCAAAACTCAATAAAGGAAAGTATTTTGGAAAGATAGTGGAGTAGGAAGCACCAAGAATCTGTCTCCCCATCTAGACAACAATTTCACTGGCATGATCTGCTTGATGTGACTATTGTGACTCTAGGGTCTATTAAGGCTTGCAGCAACCAGGGGGAAGACTTGAATGATAAATTCTGGATAAATTCAGCTCTTAGCAAACTAGCAGCTACACACCCTAACCATGTGATGGGCAGCTATGCACATGTTCCTGGAGCAGCCCGGGCACAGCCTGAGGAAGCCAAGCTGGGCAAAGACACTGTCTACTAAGCATCAGAGAAAAAAGATCCTGTCCTCCAGCTATCAGGGATCTGTGCTCTGACTGCTGATTACTGCTTCTGATCACAGCCATGCAAAGCCAGCAGCCATTATTGTTGTGCCTCTCTCTACTGTAAGTTTGTCCCCCAAAAGTAACTTCCAGGGAATTTAAAGGCCGGTCCTCTTTCCCCTCCCAATCCTCATTTCATATTTAACTTTTCTCCTTTCAAAAGACAGACATTAAAGATTAGGACATTCAAAAATAATTACATATATGAGGTAAATGCCCAGGGAAAAGCTCAGAAAAGAGCTACTAGATAACCTTAAATTTATACTTAACGCTGATCCCTGGCATAGAAAAAACTTATAACAACAATAATAATTATAAGTAAATAACTATTATTAGAAAACAAACAAAAACAGCAAACCCTGGAGAAGGGGAAGAATCTGATTTCCAGAGTCAGTCACCTTGTTATTAGATCAAATGTCCAGTGTTCAACAACAAAAAATCACATGGCATACAAATAAGAAAGTATGGGCCACTCAAAGGAAAAAAGTACATCAACTGAAACTTTCCCTGAAAAAGAAAATGGCAGATTTACTCGATAATGATTTTAAAACAATGGTCTTAAAGATGCTCAAAGAACTAAAGGAAGATGTGGAGAAAGTCCCACCATGGTCCCTATTTCTACCACATTCTTAGCAACATTTGGTATAATTGTCTTTTTAAGTTTTGCTAGTCTGATGATGTGAATAGTATCTCTTTGTTTTAATTTGTATTTCTCTAATTACTGATGAGTCTAAGTGTCTCTGTGTAGACTTATTATCAATTCAATTAAATATTTTTTCCTTTCTTGCATTTCTTGACCCACTTTTAAAATTGGGTTTGTTGGGGCGCCTGGGTGGCTCAGTGGGTTGAAGCCTCTGCCTTCGGCTCGGGTCATGATCCCAGGGTCCTGGGATCTAGCCCCGCGTCGGGCTCTCTGTTCAGTGGGGAGCCTGCTTCCCCTTCTCTCTCTCTGCCTGCCTCTGCCTACTTGTGATCTCTGTCTGTCAAATAAATAAATAAAATCTAAAAAAAAAAAAAAATTGGGTTTGTTGTCTTTCTCGTGTTGATTTGCACCAGTTCCTTGTATACTCTCTAGGTTTTAATTTAGACATTGAAGATGTCTTCTCTTAGTCTTTCAACCAATTGTTGACTTTTCTGTGGTGGTCTGTTGAGCAGAAGGCCTTAATTTTAATTCAGAATTCATTATTTTTTAATTTATTATTTGTGCGTTTTTTACTTTATTGTCCTTCCTTATCCCAAGATCACTAGGATATTATCTACGTTTTCTTCTATGTTAGCTTTATAGTTTTACCCTTCACTTTTAGGTCTTTAATTCATTTAGATTCTACATTTGTTTCAAGTGTTTTTTCCAGGTAGCAAGCCAGTTTTCTTAATACCATTTCCTAATACCATGCCTATACCATTCTTGACTGATCCATCATATTTTAAGTGGTTTCATACACGTATAGCTTTCTCTGTGTCCCATAGGTTTTGTGATGTGTTTGTTTCCATTTTTCTCTGTTTTCTAATTTACCATGTGATTTCTTCTTTGATCCCTACGTTGTTTAGTAGTGCATTATTAATTTCCATAGTTTTGTGAATTTTTCAGTTTTCCTTTTGTTTGTAGATTTCTAATTTTATCCCATTGTGTTCAGAGAAGATACTTTGTAAGATATCTATCTTTTTAAATCTGGGATTTTTATTTGTGGCCTAACATATAGTCTGTCCTAGAAAGTGTCTCATATGCTCTTGAGATGAATGTGTATTCTGTTGTTGTTGGGTAGCTAATGTGTATATGTTTGTTATATCTAGTTGGTTTATTGTGTTAAACGTCTATTTACTTATTTATCTTCAGTCGGCTTGTTCTAGCCATTATTGTGAATGGGTATTAAAGTTTCCAACTGTTATTGTAGAGTTGTTTTTTCCTTCAGTTCTGTCAGTTTTTGCTTCATATATTTTGATTGCCTGTAGTTAAGTGTGTAATTATTTATCATGGTTATATCTGCTTGCTGTGTTGAATCTTTTATTTGAATATAATGCCCTTCCTTGTCTCTTATAACCATTTCTTTGATTTAAAGTCTATTTTGTCTGATATTAGTATAGCACCTGCTGTCTTTGGTTACTGTTTGCATGAAATATTTTTTTTCCTATCTTTTCACTTTTAACCCATTTGTGTCTTTGGATCTTGAATATCTTGACTCAAGACAGCATATAGCTGGTTAATATGTTTTTATTCATTCTGCCAATCTCTGTCTTTTGACTGGACAGTTGCCCCGCTTATCCCTCCAACCAGCTTCTGTACACCCCTAGCCTCTGCCCTTGCTCACTGCCCTCCAGACACACTGGCCTCTTCGTTCTTCCCAGTACATGCCAGGCCCATTCCAGTCTTCACAATGGCTGTTCCCTCTGGCTGGAATGCTTTCTTCTGATATTCACATTGCTAGCTTCCCCTCTTCCTTCAGATGTCATTCATTTGTTCATTTATTTTTAAAGATTTTATTTATTTATTTGACAGACATGGAGTGAGTAAACAAAAGAGAGCACAGGCAAGGGGAGTGGCATGCAGAGGGAGAAGCAGGATCCCCACGGAGCAGGCTCCCCAATGTGGGGCTTGATCCCAGAACCCTGGGATCATGACCTGAGCGGAAGGCAGATGCTTCATTTGAGCCATCCAGGTGTCCTAGATATCATTCATTTAAATGTCACTTATCTTTTCTGAAATCCCTTCTAAGAACACTGCCTCCTGGCCTTCTCTATCCTCCCATCTTCCTCTATTTTCCCACCTGGCACCTACAACCTGATGTTGTTATTTACCTATTTGTCGATTTGACTATCTATCCCCTCCACTAGTACACAAGCTCTTTGACCTCCTTAGTCACCACTATACCTGCAGAGCCCAGATGGTGCTAAGCACATAGAAGACAGACGGAAGTATTTCTTGAGAGCAATAATTAAACTTTAAGCTGACCACCTATCTCATGCTCTTTCCATCACATCATGCTGCTTCTGGGAAAAAGAGACATATATACAGTTTGTCATTTCTCCCCTAAGATTAAAAGGTCATGTCTTACATACTTTTTTAAGCCCTACCAGGCTTAGCATATAGTAAATTCTGGGTAAGTATGAAATGAAAGCGTGAAAAGCAACCATGAAATAAGAAAAAGAGAAAAGGGAGTTGGTGGTATGGAGAAACTCTAATTTGTATTCTGTGGCATCACTGATCATTTGGGGGTTAATCCGTCTTATACTTGCTATGTGCCTATCTGCCCAAGTTAGGAGTTTTGAAAGAGATAAAAATTAACCAAATATAAGTCCTGGCTTCAAGGACCTAACATATATGTAAATATTAAAATACAAATTTTAATATATACTTATTAAAAAAGTATAATTAAAGAGTTACAGGATTTCAAGGTGAGGAGAATTACTTCTAGTTGTGGAAATTATCAGAAGAACCCACAAAAGAGAGGGCAGTTAAAATGGTTATACTACATATTGATAAATGAGTAGCAACTGGATGATAGCTTATGAACTAAAAGATAAGAACTATACTTCATTCATCCTGGTGTTCTACATGCCTTACAAAATGTTGAGAATATAATGACATTAAATACATCTTCAACAAACTTGGGAGGAACAAGGCATTCCAGGCAGAAGGAAGAGCATTGGTAAGATACAGACAGGAGAATGCAGGACATAGTGAGCAAAAATAAAAAAGTGAGGATTGGCTAATAGAAAGGGTTCATGAGGGGCTCCTGGGGGACTCAGTTAAGCGTCCGCCTTGGGCTCAAGCCAGGATCCTAGGACGATCCCCAGGTCCTGGGATCTGCCCAGTATCCGGCTCCTTGCTCAGTGGGGAGCCTACTTCTCTCTCTCCCTTCGCACCCCTCACCCCTACTTGTGCTCGCTTTCAAATAAATAAATAAAAATCCTAAAAAAGAAAAAAAAAAAAGATTCATGAAAGGGAATGGCAAACACTAAGGTGGAAAAAATAAGTTAGGGCCAGACATGGAGTAACATGAATGACATAGTAGAAAGTTTATACTCTATTCTGCAGGCCAGGAGAGACGAATGAACACTTTTACACAGGACAAGGTGATCTGAGGAGTCTAGTAGGAGCCCTCCCCCTGAAAAAATAAATAAATCTGTCATCAATTCATCCATACTGTTTCCAATGCTACCACTGGTAAATACTGTCGTTTAAGGCATAACCTCCTTAGGAATCTTCTTAATATCCAAATTCTCCTGAGACATAATTTTTAAGAAGCTGTTGTCATTCTTTTTTTTTTTTAAGATTTTATTTATTTACTTGACAGAGAGAGATCACAAGTAGGCAGAGAGGTAGACGAAGAGAGGGAAGCAGGCTCCCTGCTGAGCAGAGAGCCTGATGCGGGGCTCGATTCCAGGACCCTAAGACCATGACCTGAGCTGAAGGCAGAGGCTTAACCCACTGAGCCACCCAGATGCCCCTGTTGTCATTCATTTATACTTTAGCGTCAACTGGCTAATCAATTCACCTTCTCCTGGTTAGAGTTAAGTACACAGAGCCATTGGGGAAATAAGAATTTTGACTCAGAAGTATAACTTTTTGACTCTGAGACACCACCTTGGAAAGACAGTCTGGAGTGGGGGGCGGGGGTAAGAGGTTAACTATTAATACCTTTGTTTAAGAGCCAGTTCTGTTTTTGCCCCCCCTCCAAGTAGAACTTAGTAAGGATAAAGAGTCTCCCATAGTAGGAAGTATTTAATTGATGGTCCTGAAGGTAAGAAATAAGAAATATGATAAACCATTTTTGAAGGAAAGAAAAAGAAAAAGTTTTGTGGAATTTAGACACTACATACTAAGTTCTTTGAGTTTTCCTCAAAAGAGTCAAGGAAAGGCTTCACCTAAATCATTCAACCACTTTACGGAACTGTGGCGGGCAAGTAATAATCCAAGGAATATGATGGTGCAAGAACAAATGTTTTTTTAAAAAGGTTAAAAATTCACCCAAGTGATGTTATGTACCAATAATGATAATCAGCCTGATAATAACCATACTATAACCCTGGGAATTCCATCCGGATGTAATGGAAATCAAGCATCTCACTGGGATGGTTTTCTGCTTTCTAAAATTCATACCCTCAATCTAGGCCGGAGAAGGCTCATTTTGCTGGCGGGCTAGGCGATGGGGCGCAAGGAAAACACTGAACGCGTGGCCGCAGACGTCCACTTAAAAACCCCCGGGTTCCCGACGGAAAGGAGGTAGAATGGGCACTCACCGCTTGTCAATGGCGTCGATGTTTGAATGGAGGAGCCACAGCTCCTCCGTGTTGTCCTGCCGGGAGGACAGGATCAAGTGGTGACCAGTCAGACACAACGTCCCTTCGACGGCGGGATAGAAAGGCCGGTGCAGCACCACATTGTCCACCCGTGGGGTCTTAATTAGCTCCGCAAACTCCATGTTTCCCCGCGGCCGGAGCCACGGGACTCCGCGAGTCCCGGAGGTCCGAGGCGGTCACAGCGCCGCAGGGCTCGGGAGGAGGATGACCGGGCTCCCGGCAGGCCGGAGGGGTGGGGACGGGGCAGGGAGGCTGGGCCCCGCCCTAGGCTCGGGTGGGCGCGGCGAGGCCTGAGGTCATAGTCACTGGCCACGGGAAGAGGAGGGCTGGGGCTGGAGCAGGCCCCGGCGTCTCTCTCGAACTCCGGGTGCCCCCAGGCCCAGGTCTCGAGCGAAAAGAAAGCTCCGCGACAGGCCCAGTAGCCGCCGCGGCCACCTGGGGACCCGGCCTCGGCTGGGCAGGCTGAAGGGAGAAAGAGGAGGCCGCTTTAGGGCCAGTTTCCAACACCGAGCCGCTGGGGACTCCTGGCGGAAGTAGCGGCTGGGGGCCGGAGACTAAAGCAACTCCGGGCGGAAGCGGTGGAGCTCGAAACTCGGAAGACAGGGAAGTCAGAGCCGGAAGTCATTCTCCTTCCGGAAGAGGGTGCTTCAGGAAAAACAGACCTCCATGGTTTGTGCTCCTACGAGAAAAGAGCCCTTCATTACCATCATGCCCACCGCCGTACTTCCCACCGACTCCAAATAGTCGGTATCAGAAGAGGCCGGGGAAGATGGAACGACGAGTAGAGGTCCTTGTCTGCCTCCCTGCACTTGAGTAGTTATCCCCCCTCCAAGAGCTCTTCACAGCGTGGGGCTGTCGTAAATTGTGAGATGACAAGTGTGGGATCGAAAGAATGATTGTGACCGTAGAGAATCCTCCAGGTGTAAGGGAGAAACCCAGGGCTCAGCACTACAGTCCCAGAGAGCGCCGCGCCAAAGTTCTGTGACCTTGAGCAAGGAAAAGGAAAAGCATGCAAACCCCTATGAGAGAGACCTAGGAAGAAATAACGTACAGTGCACAGAAGAGGAAAAGATTAATCCTGTCTAGTGAGAAAGCTCAAGTGACTTGCTACAGCAATCTGTAGCAGAGATGGACTTCAATCTAAATCTGTGAAATCAAGGTATCAGGGCTTTGACACCACCACACAGCCTCCCCATTAGAAACAGTGCCACTGAACTCCCAGATGCCTAAATTATGTCAGAAATTTTCCTAAATAAGTTCCCTTTGCTTAGTGCTCTCCACTAAACTATTTTTCATTGTAAAATAGAGAATTAGAGGGGAAATGTGCAAGGATTTGAGTCCTGGTCTGCTGTCCTTCCATTAACCTGTGAAATCCCCACCATCTAGTCCAAAGTACAGCTAATAGGCCAAAGTCTGACAGCAATCAAAGACAAAGTAAAATTGTTTAAAAATCTCACCAGATCACCCACCAACGGTGTCCCTGCTTCTGCCCCTGCCCTTCCTAAAATATTCCCTTATTAAAACAAAAACGCTTTATGAGATCGTTACAGCAGAGAGTCTAGCTATATTTGTCTGCAAAAGAAAAAAGGAACCAACAGGGAAGGGAGACTGAGGGAATGGGTTTATAAAGCTATTTTTTAAATTGGAATCTTTGTTGTCCTTCACATTGTGGCTCATTATAACAATTGCCAATTGAGAATTTACTTCCAGAATAAAGAATCAGAGGAAGTTTTATGGAGAAGGAATCATTTGAAACAATGACTTTGAAGGATGAGCAAGATTTATATCCTGAGTGGAATGTAGCCAAGATGTCTTGTCTTAATTTAATGATGTCTACTAGAGGTAGGGGAAAATTCTCCAAAAATTCCATGACCGTTTCTTTAGTTTAACTGAAAATAAAACAGAACAAAAAGCCAATGAAAAAAAATATAGTGTCATTACATTTTAAAATGTTTACTATTCCATAAAGACATAAACTTTTTGTCCACAGGAGAAAATTGTCAATATCATGCTGGATTGCTATAAGGAAACACTAGAAATATTAGAAAATTACATCTGGGGCACCTGGGTGGCTCAGTCGTTAAGGTCTGTCTTAGGCCTCAGGTCGTGATCCCAGGGTCCTGGAATCAAGCCCCACATGGGGCTCCCTGCTCATCGGGAAACCTGCTTCTCTCTCTCCCATTCCCCCTGCTGTGTTCCCTCTCTTGCTGTGTCTCTGTCAAATAAATTAAATCTTTTTTTAAAAAAAGAAAATTACATCTACTCTGGGTTGAAGCTCAAAGCAAAGAAAGCCCCTGAGATCTGCAGAAAACAAATATTTGATAGCAAATAGAGGAAATACAGATTATGTGAATTTAGGAAGTACATGAACAGTAGATGGCAGTAGAGCTTAATAGGGTAGGCTTCCATTCTATTACATTAATTCAAGGAAGCTGTAGTTAAATTTATTATCCAAACTGCCTGCATGCAAGGGTATCTAGACGATTCAGATAAATAAAAGAAGATGAAAGAAGGTGATAGCATTTATTTCTTTTAAAGATTTATTTATTTTAGAGAGCACAAATGGGAGGAAGGAGAAGAGAAAGAACCCTCATGTAAACTCCCCATTGAGCATGGAGCTCAAGGTGAGGCTTGAGGCTCTATCTCAGGACTCCTGAGATCATGATTTGAGCCAAAGTCAAGAGCTGCCCATTCAACTGACTGAGTTCCCCAGATGCTGCAATGATGGTAATTATAATGCATGTAAAACTCTCAACACCTTACAGGTCTTATTATTTTAATCATTTTATGAGGTAATAAATGGCATTAATGTGTAATCATCTTGTTCTGTCAAATAGTCCCCTAGCATGAATTAAGTGCCTACTTGGTCATCAGCACCGTGGGGAATAGAAACAATAGGCCTGACACAGCCCTTGCCCTCAAAAAGTTAAGAGCTACTTTGGGAAGGCCAACACAACCAACACAACCAATGAACAAAAAATAAGAGAGTAAGTGCTAAATTTTGAAATACAGATTTACTTTCCTGACTCTGTGTTTCTCTACTATGCCTTGGGTAATTAGTAGAAATTGAGAGTTTGATGGTAGTTTGAAGAAAGCAGGTCAACAATTGCCAAAAACAGCAAGAACATCTAAGATGGAGAAGACGTTGCCCATATGTGCCATTGATGAGCAGTTGTTCTCCACGTGCTTGACTATAGCAGCTGAATCGAACTTGATTACCTCATGCCCGATTTTCTTGTGTTCTCCATTACTTCATCCTCAAAGCAAATCAATCACCAAATTTTTTATCTTATCTTCTAATAGTTCTTGAATTCCCCACTTCTCTCCATCCCCAAGGCCATTGCCATAGTTCAGGCCACCACCATCTCTCACTGTACTTAAGGGGGAAATCCTCTCAGTTGGTCTCATTTCTTCCAGTGGTGTTTCCCTCCAGACTCCTTTTCCATTTGGCAGCTAAAGCCCTTTGGACTGTTCTAAATTTCATTTTTTTTTTCTTGTAAGTCCCTTTGTGATCTAGCTCCTTAGGTGGTTATCAGTATCACAGATGTCATCTTTCCTGCTGTCTCTACCTGGTACCACAGCTCCCAACTCCCATTTCTAGCAGTTTGCACACCAGCTCTCCCTAAATAGCTCACAGTTTCCTTTTGAGATTTTGCACCCAGTTAGAACCTTGCTGTTGAGTGGAAGTGTAGAGCAGGGACCAGCATCATCAGCATTCCCTGGGAACTTTGTTAGAAATATTTCACTCCAGAGCTACTGAATCAGAATTGCACTTAAACAAGATTCCTAGATGATTTTTATGCACATGAAAGTTTGAGAAAGCACTGTTTTAAAGAATCTAGGTATTCTTTCTGCCTGGTATACATCTACCTCACTCCCAATACTTTGTCTCTTGACCTGCTTATTTCTATCATCCTTCAGATCTCCTCTGGGATATTACTGCCTCTAGGAAGCCTCTGCTGATTCCACAGCTCATGGGCTCCACAGCACTGTGTAATAATAATAATAATAGTTCTGGGATACCTGGGTGCTCAGTCAGTTAAGCAACCAGCTCTTGATTTCGACTTAGGTCATGATCTCAGAGTCCTGGGATTGAGCTCCCTGTTGCACTCCATGCTCAGCACAGAGTCTGCTTGTCCCCCTCCCTCTGCTCCTCCTCCCCCTTTCTCTCTCCCAAATAAATAAATAAAATCTTTAAAAATTAATAACAATAGTTGACACTTTTGAGTGCTTATTCTGTGTTCCAGATATTGTGCTAAATGCTTTGAATGCATTGGCCCTGTAGTCCTTGCACAGTTCTCTGAGATTAGTTAGTATTCTCCTTTTACCAATGAGAAAACTGAGGCTCAGGGATCTTAATAGCTTTTCTAAGGTCAGAGAGCAATAAGGGGTGGAAGCAGGATTCAGACCCAAGCTCAGAGTGCAGGCTCTGAGCTCTTCACCACCATGCTACATTGCCACCCTTGAGACCTGAGCCCACCTTGATTGTTCTCTCTAATCTTACCTCTTAAGAAACTATATTAAAATAGACTCCTTATGTGTCATAACATTCCACTAGACAATAACCTCCTTGAGAGCAAGGACCATTTCTTGATTGTAGTATTCCCAGCATCCAGCTTAGTGCATAGACATAGTGGCCACTCAATGTACATTTGTTGATAGACACCCTGTATTCTACTGAACACATTTCACCCTGGCCTCCTTTCCCACCACCTTAATCTGACTGACTTCAGATATTATTGCACATGTTTGTAACCACATTCTGATGAGAATAGGAGGAAGGTGATGCTATGTTATTCCCACCTTGCAGCTGAGGAAATTAAAACGGATGAATAACTTACCAGTAATGATGATCATCTCTTACATTTAGTCACTATATTACAATTCACAAAATATTTACAAATATGTTATCACATATGCCTTTCTCAATGACCTGGTTAAATAAGTAGGAGAGGTATTGTTCCCAGCTCAGAGAGGAAGAACTGAGGCTCAAGGGATGGTGATGTACTTTCAATGGCAAAACCAAGAAAAGAGGCAGAGACCCAAAGGCAACACTTCTGAGTCCAAAATTCGGACCCTTGTCATCACACTAATTTAAATTAGACTTAGTCTGCACTGCTTTTGTCTATTCAGATTCTGACCTATGGGTGTTAGGAAGAAGACAGCTACTGCTAAGTAAACAAAGGGGAGCTAAAGTTTCAAGACACAATCACACCAAAAAGAGAGCTCTGGGGACAGTGATTTGATCAATGAACCTGTATTCAGAAATATTGTAATAGCTACATTCCCTATGTATGGTTCACTGAGTCACTTAGTTTTTTAAAACAATTAGAACAGCAACCTAGCACTTGAGAAGATGACAAACTGGAAAAGCAAGTAAATGTTGCTATTGCACAGTCCAAGCATAACTGCTTACAACAAAATCCAACTGTTGGGAGCTAGAGCTGGAACACTAGGAGGGGGAATGTCTGAAGCATGGAGGGACTGCTTAGACATCCCTCTCTGCAATCTCAGGGCCTCTCCCAAGGTCTCCTCTGGACTTGATTTGATATTCCCGCTAGCACAGTGGCCTCAGGGCAGTCGGGCTGCATACAAAGCAGCTGGAGGTACAAAGAGCGAATATTTCCAAGGGCTAAGCAGAAGCTGCATTAACTTCTATGACTTACACTCGGATGTCACATAATGTCACTTCCACTGCACTCTCTTGATTTTAAACAGTCACCAAACACCACTCAGTTTGAAGGGGAGAGGACATAGATCCCACCTCTCAATAGAAACAATGACAAAGAATGTATGACATGGATACATTTGATAGTGGGAAACATATATGTAT